CCCCAGGTCTCTGGATGTGGGTCGGTGACCTGTGCCCGGGTGGGCTAATCCTTACCAAAGAATTTCACCTTTAAATGTGTATTATGATATCACTTCTATAAATATCATATATGTTAGATTTATCGGGAAAACTTGTTTTGATATCTTTTTTATAATTACCATTATGTTAAATTTGCTATAATGGTCATTATTTTTTAATGCAAAGGGTGATGGAAAAGTCCCTGTGCACCTGTTGTAATCAGCCCTATAATATATCCTTTTCATACCTACATTATTATACACCTTATTCTCCTAACACCCAATACTGGTAAATGGTCACAGTAGATTTACTCTAAGTAGAACAAGCTATTAACAATGTAGACATAACAAGGAAATATTATCGAGTTAATTATCACAGGTGCACAGGGACTTTTCCATCACCCTGTATTAAAATATCTCGCCCCTGGATAACATAACACCTAAGAGCTGTCACTATCACGATACGTCATTTAATAACTAATTTCAAACTTTTACACATCTTTATACTGTAGATAATTCCAACTTTTTGTTTAACATTACAGTTTTTTAGTGTAATATTGTCCTCGTGTCTGTGTAAATGTCAAGTTACGTCATTTCTTAAAAGTAATTCACATCAAAATGACAGGATGGATTTTTTTTTCTAGTTCATTCCGGAGTTCATTAGTTTTTATATCTCATTATATAAGCTCTTTTATATATATATATATATATATATGTATATATATATATATATATATATATATATATATATATATATATATATATATATATATATATATATATATATATATATATATGTATCCATTTGCAAGTTTTCTTATTAAATTTATATATCTTTCTTTTTTAGGCGGGGGAGGAGGGGAATATATTTATTTTTAGTTCATATATTTCACATCTGGTTTGGCGTTCAGTGGGTCTTATGTTGTATACGTTCAGTGTGGCTTTTGTATTGTATGTAAAGGAGGGAATAAGAATGAGTGAGATAAAGAGACTGACAGAGAGAGAGAGAGAGAGAGAGAGAGAGAGAGAGACATTTAAAGAGAACAAAGTGAATAAGAGAGAAAGACAGAGATAAGGATAGAGAAAAAAAAAGATTTAAAAAGAGAAAAAGAGATAGAGATATAAATACAAAAGAGAGAAAAATATCGACAAAGAAAGAAAGAAAAGAACATGAATTATAGACAGAAAGATAAATAAAGAGACAGAAAGACAGACAGACAGACAGACAGACAGACAGAAAGCTCACAACACGACAAAAGGTTCATATGCCGTAAGCAACACACACACACACACACACACACACACACACACACACACACACACACAAACAGCCTTACACCACCACAGTCTATAAGTTCCACGAAGAATATAAAACATCAAGAGGCAAAGCGCAGCAAAGTGGGGTGACGACACCATCCCAACATAAGCTTCAACCCTCTAAGCAACTGGAGGGAGAAGAGGTGGGTTAGGGGAGGGTGAGAGTAGGAAGGGGAGGAGGGGGTAGGGGTTAGGGAGGGTGAGAGTAGAAGGGAGGAGGAAGAGGGTAGATGGGGGGGTTAGGGGAGGAGAGGGGAGGAGGAAGAGGTAGATGGAGGGGGTATGTTTCCTTCTACACAATAAAACTCCGTAAACTTGTAACATACACAGTATATTAACTCTAATCTCCTCCTAAGTGTCTATAAAAACATTCTGTGACTATATAAACATTATGTAACTACTGTATATAAACATCCCCTTCCCCCCAACTTCAACCACCCCTCCTTCCATTTCTTTACATCGCACCGGACAGCCATTAACACACCCTACTAGTGCGCTTTGGTGATGCTCAGATGTTACTTGGTGTTTGTTTACGTCTGAGAGGTCTGGGGTAATATAGTATTTCTTAAGAGATAATTTCTGGCCCAGTATCTTATCTTAAAGGTCAGGGGTCAGGGGTCAGGGGTCAAGGGTTAGGGGTTTGATATGCAGTGTAATTATTATTTATTTGAGTGTATTTTTTTTCTTTCTTGTTCCGTTTTCTTCAGGACAGACTATGAGAGATGTGTTCGATATGTGCTGTGTATATGTGTTTGATATGTGTAGTGTATATGTGCTTGATATCTTGCCTACATATATTATTCTGTCACATTAAGACTCAAATAGCTATTCTTTTTGGGTCCAAGAGAAAGAAAAAAAAAGTATATAATTTACGAAGTTCTTTTATAAAATATTAACCTGACATGACCTCCCAAACGACCCGTAAGACACTGACTGATAGTTTCCAATAACCTTGTTTCTTGAAGTAATATGTAGGGAAGATGACATATTTTTGGGAGCAGTGCCAGTGAGGTTAACAGTCCATTGATTAACAAAACAGTGCCAGTGAGGTTAACAATGCCCGAATGTGATTAACAGTGCCAGAGTGAGTTTAACAGTGCCAGAATGAAGTTAACAGTGACAGAATGAGATCAACAGTGCCAGAGTGAGGTTAACTGTGCCAGTGAGGTTAACAGTGACAGAATGAGATCAACAGTGCCAGTGAGGTAACAATGCCAGAAAAAAAATAAACAATGCCAGAATGAGATTAACAGTGCCAGAATGAGTTTAACAGTGCCAGAATGAGAACAACAGTGCCAGAATAGGGAACAACATGCCAGAATGTGATTAACAGTGCCAGAATGAGAACAACAGTGCCAGAATGAGAACAACAGTGCCAGAAAAACAACACAAATCAGACTCTAACATAACTAACACCTGCATAACATCCCTTTTCAACATATCAATATTTAACCATAAACACAAGCAAAGTTTCAGACTCTCCTCCTTCTCTATCCTCCCTCCCCCCCCCTCTCCTCCCTCCTCCTCTCTTCTCACCCTCCTCCCCCTCCCTCTCCCTCTCTCTCACCCTCCCTCCCTCCCTCCCCCCCTTCTCACCCTCCCTCCCTCTCTCTCTCCTCACCCTCCTCCCCCTCCTCTCCCTCCTCCTCTTCCACCCTCCCTCTCCTCTCCCTCTCCCCTCCCCTCCCTCTCCTCTCCCTCTCTCTCTCTCTTCTCCAACCCCTCCCTCCTCTCCTCTCCTCTCCTCCTCACCCTCCCCTCCTCTCTCCTCCCTCACTCTTCTACACCCTCCCTCCTCTCCCTCTCCCCCTCCCTCTCCACCTCCCTCCCTCTCCCCTCCCTCTCTCTCTCTCACCCTCCCCTCCCCTCTCCTCCCCTCTCTCCCCCCCCCCCCCCCCCCCCCCCCTCTCCTCTCTCTCCCCCACCCTCCCTCCCCTCTCCCTCCTCTCTCTCCTCTCACCCCTCCCTCCCTCTCCCTCCCCTCTCACCCCACCCCCCCCCCTCTCCTCTCCCTCTCCCTCACTCCCCCTCCCTCCTCTCCTCTCCCCCTCCCACCCCCCCTCCCTCTCCCCTCCCCCCTCTCTCTCCCCCACCCTCCCTCTCCTCACCCTCCCTCTCCCCTCCTCCTCTCCCTCCCTATCTAAACCCTGTTCACTCACTCATATTTACACCTATTCATATAGTTAATGACCCTGTATAAACTTAATGACCATAAATTATGTTCAATATATTGTTTACTGGACATTATGTATATATGTTTGTATGAATCGATTATATAAAGTTAGATGGAATATATAAATTAAATCGTTAATTAATTACTTGTTATTCATGATATTTACTGAACTTGCTCAATCTAACCTAACCAACCTAAGCCTAATTAATCTAACCAACCAACCAATTAGAACCCAACCCAACCTAAACCTATCCAAATCTAATCTAACCACCCAACCTAGCCCTAGCCCTAATCTAATCTACCAACCTAACCAACCCACCCACCTACCTAACCTAACCTAGCCCAACCTAACCCAACCCACCACCTAGTCTGACCTCAAACTATTCAAACTAATCTCACTTAACCTCAACCCAACCCCACCAGGGAAGCTAAGGGTGTTAATATGGCAAAATAAGCTTAGGGTGCATAACCTTCAGGTAACCCGCAATACATTTCAGATTATATCAATATTATCTAACACAACCAGAACATTCAGTTAAGGGCTCTGAAGTGTTGCCTGAAGTGTTGCCTGAAGTGTTGTTTGAAATGTTGCCCAAGTGTTGCCTGGTGTTGCCTGAAATGATGCCTGAAGTGTTGCCTCAAGTGTTACCTGAAGTGTTACTCAAGTGTTGTTTGAAGTGTTGTCTGAAAGCTGCCTGCAAAGGATTTACTATCTCCTCCCCACTACCACTGCTTCAGGTATACAGTAGCCTCACAGTAAGAGAAGACACAAGACACTACACTCAGGCTCTACATCAAAATTGTTGTTAGTTCGGCAACACACTGGTTAATGAGGCAACTAAGAGGAGAACTCGAGAGCAGATTAACTTAACTTTTTTTTTTTGTATTTCCGTCACTTTTTTAACGTTTGAAATTAATGATATAAATATTACCACAAACCCGGACTTTACAGTTGAGGAAATGAAGGAGGTCGAGTGTAGTGCCGGCCATGTTATTGTTTGTGTTTACAATTACAACAAAAACAATAGATGGATCATAGACTGTTCCTCAGCCTGGCTACCTGTAATTAGGGTAATCATCAAAAAATAAGGTAAATTAGGAAAATAAAATAAATAATATAAAAAAAGCTAAAATGTTTCGATAAAATATAATAGACTGGAGTGAATAAATTATGCCCCAAAGCGACTGAGCCGGAAAAGGTCTATTAAATCATTATTAATGTATGTTATTTATGGCACACAAGAAAGCCTTCATCAATAATAAGTGTAATGAATGACTGTCACATGGAATAACTGAATATAAATGTACTATTATTATTCGTACATATTGCTTTAATTTCAGAAGTGACGAAGGATATTTTTTTATTACTTGTAGTTCAATTTCTCTTATCTCTCTCTCTCTCTCTCTCTCTCATCTCTAGTTCTTCCCATACCATGCACCATCCATTACTCTCCTGTACACCAATCCTCTCTCCCACAGTTCTGGTCTGTCCATGCCGTGTGTGAGTCTCAGTACCAACACGGTGCAGCTACTGTTGGAACAGATAGACGTAGACAAGAGAATGACACACAGCCTGGGCCACACTGTCCTCGTCACCTCCTCCACAGGTAAGGAGAGATGAGGGGAGATTCACTACCCTATGTGAGGGAAGATTCACCAACCTTATGTGAGGAGATTCACTAACCTTATGTGAGGAGATCCACTAACTTTATGTGAGGGAGATCCACTACCCTTGCGGAGGAACGTCACAATTCTTATGTGAGGAGAGCATCAGTACACCTGAGAGGAGGAGACAGGAGGAAGAATCTTCAATTTCCTCGGTGAAGATAAAGAGGCGAGAGACGAGGGAAATGAATCTCAATTTCTCAGATGAGGGGAATGAGGTAAAAGCCTAAATTGAGGACAGTGAGGGGGAAGCATTTAAAGTGAGGGTAGTCAGGTGGAGGAAGATAGGGGAATACTCTACTCTGGTGAGGGAGACTGAGGGAAGGCTATTTACAGTAAGCGGAGAGAGTGAGGGGAGAGAGTGAGGGGAGAGAGTGAGGGGAGAGATTGAGGGGAGAGAGGAGGAGAGATTGAGGGGAGAGAGGGAGGGGAGAGAGGAGGGGAGAGAGTGAGGGGAGAGATTGAGGGAGAGATGAAGGGAGAGGAGGGGTGAGAGGGAGGGGAGAGAGTGAGGGGAGAGAGGAGGGGAGAGAGAGGAGGGGAGAGAGAGGGGAGAGGGAGGGAAGAGAGTGAGGGGAGAGTGAGGGAGAGAGGAGGGAAGAGTGAGGTAAGAGAGGAGGGAGAGAGGGGAGAGGAGGAAGAGAGTGAGGGAGAGAGGAGGGGAGAGAGTGAGGGGAGAGATTAAGGAGAAAAACGCTCAAAACCATCCAGGTAATGGAGACTATAAGTGAGGGAATCTATCGCCCACTGAGGGAATGGGAGAAAGAAATAAAACCATAGTAACGAAGCGAGAGATGAAATACTAATAATATAAACGAATAAACGAAAAACTCACAAAACACAGATGAACTAAAATTTTATTAATCTCCCTCCAGCAGTCAAATCAGTAAGGATGGGTTACTGGAAGGTGGGGAGGGGGTGGGATGAAGAGGTGGGTGGGTGGGTAGTGGGGATGGGGTGGGTAGGGTAGGTGGGGGTGGAAGGTAAATAAAGGTAAAATGTATTAGGTTGTTAATGTATTTTGTATGAGAGGAAGAAAAATATACAATAAGGAAGCAGTGTGTGAGTGATGAGAATACCTGGGCATGACGTGTGTGTGTGTGTGTGTGTGTGTGTGTGTGTGTGTGTGTGTGTGTGTGTGTGTGTGTGTGTGTGTGTGTGTGTGTGTGATGGTGGTAGGGATGGTAAGGAAGAAAGGAAGGAAGGAAGGAAGGAAGGAGAGGAAGGAAAGAAGAAAGGAGGGAGGGAGGTAAGGGGATGGAAAGGAGGAGAGAGGAAACGAATGATAGGAGAGAGGAGAAGGGAAGGAAGGAAGGAAGGAAGGAAATGGATAAGATGAAGGGAAGGAAGGAAGAGGAGAGGAAGGATGATGGGGAAGAGAAGGAGGGAGGAAAGAAAGGAGAGGGAAGAGATTAGGGGAGGAAGGGAGGAAAGAAAAGGTAGGTAGAGAAGAAAGGGATAAGTGAAGGGGAGGGAGGAAGGGAGGAAAGGGGAGAGAAGAGATAAGGGGAGGAAGAGAAGAAAGAAGAGGAGGAAGAGGAAGGAGGGGGTTAAGGGAAGGGATGGAGGGAAGGAGAGAGAACACGTGGAACAGGAAAAGCATTTTATCGAGGAAAATATTAAAGGTAGTAAAGCTGGTCTCTGTGGGAGCTTAATCACGAGGTAATCCCGAGGCAGTGAGTGCACGAAAAACCCCACAAAATGTAAAATTCTCTGACTGGTATGTGTATGTGGCGATGGGTGTAGTACAGTGTATGGTGGATAGTACATGTGTGTGGTGGGTGTAGTACAGTGTATGGTGGTGTAGTATAGTGTGTGGTGGGTGTGTGTGGTGGGTGTGTACAGTGTATGGTGGTGTAGTACAGTGTGTGGTGGGTGTGTACAGTGTGTGGTGGTGTATAGTGTGTAGTAGAGTGTGTGGTGGGTGTTGTGTGTAGTGGTGGGTGTAGTATAGTGTGTGGTGGGTGTAGTGTGTGGTGGGTGTAGTACAGTGTGAGGTGGGTGTAGTGTGTGGTGGGTGTAGTATGTGTGGTGTATAGTGTATGGTGGGTGTAGCACAGTGTGTGTGGTGGGTGTAGTACAGTGTGTGTGTAGTATAGTGTATGGTGGGTGTAGTATATGTGGTGGGTGCAGTACAGTGTGTGGGTGTAGTACAGTGTGTGTAGTACAGTGTGTGGTGGGTGTAGTATAGTGTGTGGTGGATGTAGTATATGTGTGGGTGTAGTATAGTGTGTGGGGTGTGTGTGGTGGGTGTAGTACAGTGTGTGTGTGTAGTACAGTGTGGGGGTGTAGTATGTGTGGTGAGTGTTGTGTAGTGTGTGGTGGGT